GTTCCCTTGCCTGACACAGACTCCTTAGAGTTCTACCAACGTTTGGGCAATGAAACCCTTTTTTTCATATTCTATTATATGGAGGGGACCAAGGCACAGTACCTAGCAGCCAAGGCCCTCAAAAAGCAAAGCTGGAGATTCCACACAAAGTTAATGCATTGGTATCAGCGCCATGAGGAGCCAAGAGTTATAAATGATGAATATGAGCAGGTATGTTCTCTATTTCTCATTTAAAAAGTCTCATCACTCTTCTGAAGCATGTTTTCAAATATTAGTTATTATTGTACTTTTCTGTCTAACCCAGGGCTCTTACATATTCTTCGACTTTGAGAAGTGGATCCAGCGTAGAAGAGAAGGATTCACTTTTGAATACAAGTACTTAGAAGACAGGGACCTGAACTGATGCGATAAGGCTGACTCAACATGCTCCAGAAGATCCTTCACTGCTGAATGATTAATTGCCAATGTCCTTTTTTTCCAAGACGGATAAGTCCGCAAGTGATATTGTATAGATTTTTTAATCTCACTTCTGGCTTGGATCGGGGAAAATCCCTTTTCAAAATCTCTGGAAGATGAAAGGGAATAATGACGTTGTGTTGAACACAGGCTAATTCTTGTTTTGTTTGTTCCTCGTAGTGACAATTTTTTGTCCTATGTGTGGTGCTGTGTAATGCTGTGCTCTTGAGAGGTGAATCACTGTGTGTTACTGCCATTCAGCGACATTATGTTGCTGGGGCCTAAAATGAAATGTGATATTTTATGTTCAAACATTAACTATCATGGTGTAGTGTCAGTACTTCATCCCAGACCGGAAGAATTCTCTTTTTCAAATTATTTGAAATGCATGCCATGCTTCTCTAAAAGACAGTATATTTTTTCTTTCCCTTTTTTCACTGTTGCTTTTTATTACATTTTGGTTTATTTTTTTAGTAAACAACCAAAGTTTACTTATTTGCATACATGTATCCCTGATTTTTTTCCAAGATTAAAAATAGTTTGGCATGAACTTAAATCCATGTATGTAACTAATCTTTTGGTTACATACGAGCATCTGAATTGTATCTTATCTAAATGTTATGACTTCTGTCATGGGGCTGTTGATAGAGAAATTCTTTGCATGCTTTTGGCTTGCTTCCTATGGAAATCCTTTACATGGCAAACATAGTTCCTGTTAAGTTGTTGTGGTTTACCTCAAGTAAACCCCAGGTTTTTATAGTTTTTTCCCCCCAATTTTTAGTTGGCAAAAATTTTGTTTGCTGTTATGATTAATCCTTGTGAAGGAAATTTTTGTAACAGGATCTACTATGTTGGCTATGTAAATTTGTATACCATATTTCCAGGCTACTGTCATGTGATGATTGTATTGTATCCTTGAGTAATTAAGCTACAATATATATTTCTTTACCACCACCACCATATAGATCTTATCAAGCATGTGTTGAAAACATTTGCAAACCAGCAGTCGTCTTTGTAGTAAGATAGCCTTCATGTAACTAGGAGTATGTTCTTTTTACTTTTATGCTTTCCAACATTTGAGTACCGTGAAGTGATTTTTGGACTTCCAAGCATTTATGTTGGACTTAACGCATTGCAATACCTTTATCCTGTTCATGATCTCAATTTTTTCTGATTTCAAACTGCAGAAGAATATTTTGAAATCGTGCTGTGTTTTTGTACCCTGCTGCTTGCAGTTCTAATATCTAGTATTTTTGTTTTATTTTTATTTTATAGTTTTTCCATTTAGAAAGAAGCATAGATCTTGATTGAGTTTTCTTTCATCTGGTTATGTTGTGTTTGTCTTTTCCTTTCTTCTATGAAATGAATTCTTAAATTTGTACATTGCTCTCCATCGACATCCCTTGGCAATCTTAAAATTTTGCCACATTTTGCTTCTCACCACGTTATTATATTGTCTGTATGAAAGTACCCGTACTGTTGAGTTACCTCACAGCATTATATGCAGCTTAGTACCGTTTTAAGGTACTAAGTGCTGCATATTGCTGGATCTTTTCATGGTAGCTTGAGGAATGAAACCCACTCTTCTGGTGTGCAGTTACATTTTTGTTGTGAGCACCGTTTTAAGGTACTTACATTCAACTTACCTGTCTGTAATGTGCATTGGAGGATTGTGGGGAAGAAACTTGAGTGCAGTTCTGTATAGTATTATTTTACAGTCTGTGCTTTTTTGTTAGTTATGGAAGACTGGGTCTTGTCAGTGAGGAATCAAACATTTAATTGGGCCTTCCAAGTTGTCCAGTAGATGTATTCTTGCTGATGGGGTTACATGTACAGCGTGGTGAGCGGCATCTCTTGCAGTGGTTCACCTCAAAGGGAAGATAACAAGAAGCACCAGGCAGCAGACAGTGAAAAACAACCAGTACAAAAAAGATTTATTGTGGGGGGAGGGCGTGGCGGACTCCCTCTTGCACATCTCTTTTGCGTCTATTTTGTTGTTCATTTTCACTTTTGTAAAAACTATTTAAAAGGTATGATTAATGAAATACTCTGTACAGTACTATTTGTGTAGAAATTGGATTTACTATTACAAAAGAAAGATTTTTAAATTTTATTGCATTGTATAATTTGTATTATGGTAAAGTTTAGATGTGCAAGGTGGAAGTCCGTTCGATCTGGCAACATGCCACACGCTCCTTTGTGTCAAGCATTCTTGAATGCTATCAGGGAATTTCGTAACAAAAGAATAAAATCATATTTTAAAAAAATTTGCTAACTTATTTCCTTTTTTGTAAGGGAAGAGAAGTAGTTAATGTTATGAAAAATCATAATAAAAATGTCAAAATGATAAATGGTTGATGGATATTCCTTGTGAACCCTCTTTCTGTTGATCTCTGCACAATGGCAATGAATTCTCCTTGTCTATGTTCCGTGCAATGAATTTTCATTAGCTTATGAAAAGTACAGTACCATCAGAAAATTAGCATTAGTAACTAACCAGAATTCTTAGTTGATTTATGGACGTGTCTGAGACAGTAAAAATCTGGAAAAAAACAAACAACAGTACGACAGAACTGGGGTCAGTCCATATTTTGGATTGACAGTTTTTGTGTCCAAAGCACCTTCCTATTATATTTTGTGTAGGGTGCGTTTTTCTAGTGATTGTATTTGAGTGGCATGGCCTTTGATCTCAATAAGCCTTTAACACACTCCCCTTCCTGTATGGTTTCTTCACTTTTTCTTGGATTCTGTTAGTGAACATTTTTGGTATCAAACTATGATATTTCCATTTTATCTTCATATCACAACAGAAGGGACATGTCCCGTGACGTCGGAAATAAAGAGATCATAAATTGTATTTTAATTAATGATTCTACAAGTGATGTAAACAATGAGATATTATTTCACATATGTGTTATTTGTTTAAAAAATCATGAAAAAGTGATAAATCAATTTTGAATAATAAGAGTATTTGCAAGAGAACGAGATGCGTTTTCTTTCCTAAATATCAAGCGGAATCCAGCGTTTCATATTTTTTTAAAAATTTACTCTGGTGAAAAAAACGCAGTCGCTGATGCTCTAGTATGTTGGAGATCATAAGTGAATATATTGAAGGTCAATTGTTAAATGCTCCTTTAAAAAAGAAAAAAAAAACACTTAAATATCGTAAATCTAGGTCTTACAGAGGGAAGTTTCTTTTTTCTTTGCTTTTTTATTAAAAGTTTTATGACAAAAATAATATAGAAGTGGTAAATAATCCACGAGATCAATAGAAAATATAAACATCACAGCTCATCGGTCAGTCGAGGAAAAGTATTAGCTCTCGGCAGGGAGTTCAGCAGGGTGTAGCCCAACTGGTCTAAGGCAAGTCACCCGACTCTTTTCGAGTCAGAGAAGACTGAGAAGAAAGAGAAATCTTCGACGCTCATGGCTTGAATGGAAAACGGTTGAGTCACTCCTGACTTGAAGATGATTTCAGCAGGTCATACACAGATACATAGACCTCGCTGGCAGGAACCGCCATGCGCCCACTGGCTGCGGCATCTCTGGATGCACGCGCCGGTGTTGCAGGAGAGCAAGGCTCCTGCTGGAACTCCCGCTGGACCTGAAGGAACACAAACAGGAGTTACAAGATTGATCTTAAAATAATTTTTCCCGCACATATTCATCCCCACGATCCTCACCCGTAGGAGGCAACGGCTCCGCTCCCAGAAGGGGCTCGACGCCTTCGAGCTCAGGCACGGCGTTGTTCACAGAGACGGGGAGTGCGCTGGCGGCGACGACGACGGCTCCCAGCAGAAGCACAAGGTTCAGGGTGGTGGCCATGGTCAGCGAGGTGGCTCAGGGCTCTATGATCACCCTCCCCGGCCGATTCCCTTTTATACCGGCCGACTCGCTTTCGTTCAACAGGTATGTTTATTCCACACGAAGCCCGCTATCGCGACACGCGACACGATGATTGCTGTTTTTTTGTTTTCGTGGATCCACATTGTGTCACAAATAATCATCTTGAATGTGGTTGAAGGAGGAGTCGGGTAGTTGTTGATCTCGTATAGCCGAAATGACGCCCGTTTCCCGCACTTCACTACCAGCGAAGAGGGAGGGTGCGCAAGTGCGCGACAACTGTATAGCAACGCCACCCAGGTAGCAGAGCTGCATAAAATGTGCATTTTGTGTCCAATCTAAACCGCGTCTAAAACGTGTGTAGGCGCCTAATATGCACTTAAATGCGCGTTTCAGATGGGACATATAATGCGGTTCGAATGCAGTTTGCTATATTTTGCTACCTGGGCAGGGCAGGCGCGGGGATATTACGCAAAAATGCTTAAGGATCAGATCATCGGGTTTGCTCCTCCCCCCGCCCCCTCAGCCCTTCATATAACCCGTGATGGGTAGACAAAATGCACTAGAATCCGCATGTAGGCCAGACCCGTAGCCTGGATACGCATCTGCGTTCCGCTTCTGATCTACGTTTCGCGCCAATTTCTCGTAGGCTATCTCTCCCTCCTTTTCTTCGGCACGCGAACGATTCCACGCGCCGCCCGGCCATTTAGGTGTACACACGGAGATAAGGCGAACAACTGAGTCACAGGGGCGCCTCCGCCTCCTCCGCTCGCCGGCCTTGGCCCTCGCCTTGGCCGCCCTGCAACAACACTTGGTCGAGCCTATCTGCCGGGGACGGTGTCCCAAACAAAAGTGACGCCGCGTCGCGTGGCGCGTGGCCACCGAGTGGTCACCTGGTGTGGTCACCCTGTGGAAGTGATTTAAATGCCCGTAAACATGGCGCGAGAGTAGCGCATTCATTCTAAATCGACCTTCGGGCCCGTAAGACACTATCGTTGGCCTTGTCAACTAGCAGGACGCACTTCGGTACGGATTGTAAAATTCGCGAAGAATGGCCGATTTGCGACACACCGCCGAGCGCAGGGGTGCTGACTACGCACCCCCACGGGCAACGCCCTGCGGCCCCCGTCCGTCAAGCGACCTGCACTCGCCACGCGGTTTTGCAAGGGGGACGCACCAACAGACGTACCCCAGACCTCCGACAGTTAAGACCGCTGCGAGCACCTGAAACCTGGAGGAAATCATCAGAAATTTGCAAGGTGAGAGAGTGCGGAGAACGAGACAATCGAATACACCACATTAGGGATCGTTCAGGACGTATACGTCCCTTTTCCTCAGATTCATTCGGCAAATTACGCATGCTCGGCGCCTGCGAGACTCAGGGTAGGCCAGCCCGCTGTACACGCACGCACTGCGGGCAAGTTGTTGCCTACCTACCAGGCGCTATGAGCTCTTGCACAGGCTGAACTTGATAATTTCGTTACGGCGAATGGCGGACGGCGGACGTACTTTCTGGATGATCCTTTGGGTAAACGAGCAAAAATGGCCTCAGCGAATCGGGTACGCAATTCAGACCAGGAAACGGCAAGTATACACCGAGTACAGATTTAAAAGATTTTTTTGTTAATTTTTGAGGGGTTCAAGGTGCTACTTCTTGCAAAACTAACATTTTTGTTGAGGCTTCACTCGACTTGATAAGACGTCAGGCCAGGCGTCAGGCAAACCCGCTCGCACCCGTCCATCAGGCGCCTATTAAAAGGGGGGGGGGGGAAGACCGCCCCCTGTGGTCCACTAGATAGCCGCTTAAATTTGACCTACCAAACCCCTGTATTGCAACTTTAGATTCACCCCCCCCCCCCCTTAATACTCCCCTGCCGTGCATGCGTGCTAGTATACACGCATTCGCTGCAACGGGGCACTGCAATCACCCTGTACAAGATGAGTGTTTTCAGTGCAATGATGCCATCGAGGAGAGGTGGGGGAAGGGGGGAACCATCTTAGTCGCGAACAATATCACGGTGGAGAGAAAGCGGGCAGCTCGGTCACGCACGCCCGTGTGCAGCATGGGCTGGAGGCGGGGGCGGCGGGGTGGTGTCTGTCGTCGGTCTGCCGCGCAGCCTGCCGCTGCTCTGCTTGACCCAGACGGAGTGTGCGGGAGAGTGGGGTTGGGTGGTGAGGTAAGGTGAGTGGGAGGGGGGGGG